ACATTTATTTATTTATTTATTTATTTATTTATTTATTTATTTATTTCAATTTATATGACTGCCCTTCTCACAACAATGACTGACTGGGTGGCTAGCATAAGTTTAAAATTTAATATAACCAAAAGATGGTGATGATGATGATGATGATGATGATGATGATGATATACAACAGTAGCCAACAGCAATCAACATAAGTAAACATTCTTCTTGAGGACCCAGTTAATCTCCCAACTCCCATGCCTGGGAATACAGGTACATTTTAAGGCTTTTCAAAATGCCAGCAGAAATGCGGTCAACTAGATTTCAAGGGGTATGGTGTTCCAGAGGATATGTGCTACAACAGAAAAGGCCCACTTCCTAGGTCTAATTAGATGACATTCCATGATAGATAGGACCTGGAGCATGCCTATTCTGCAGGGGCATGTAGAAACATCTGGAGAAAGGTGGTCCCTCAAATAACTGAGCCATGAAGGGCTTTACAAGTGACTACCAGCACTTGGAATTGTACTCATAAGCACATTGGAAGGCAGTGTAGCTTATGGAACAGAGGTGTAACATGAGCATACCAGGGTACTCCAATAACTGCCTGCCACATTCTAGACAAGATTAAGCTTCCAGATGTTCTTCAAGGACAGGCCCATGTAAACTATATTGAAGTAAACTGCTCAGAAAGTGACCAAGGCATGACCAACCATGAGTAGTGCCTCCAAATCTAGCAAGGGTGCAGTTGGTGCGCAAATGTAACTATGCAAAGGTTTTCTTGGCCATGGCTGCCTCTTGCTCTTCTAACAGGAGCCATGAGTCCAAGAGAACTCCCAAATTGTGCACTGGTTCTGTTCGAGGTAGTGCCACCCCAACAAAACCAAAAATGGCAAACCACTGGTTTCAGGAAACTCTAAAACGCAGCACCACTCAGTTGATGCCTCCCCCATTCAGACCCCCACAACCTCCAGTCACTGAGAAAGCATATTGACTGTATCATCTGGTCAGCCCAGGATGGAGATATATAACTGAGTATCATCGAGATTATGGCAGATTATCTTATCAAGTGGGTTCATATAGATGTTAAACAGGAGCAGGGAAAGTATTTTAATAACTCTACAAAGAAGAGGCCTTGGGCTAGATTTCTCCATCTGCTATCAACATCAACTGGAACTGATGGTGCAGGAAGAAGAACTGCCATAGCACCTTCACTTCCAACCCACTGAGCCAGTCGAGAAGGATACCATGACCAATAGTATTGAAAGCCACCAAATGGTTAGGGCAATTTAGGATGAACACACCATCACCATCCCACTTCAGCCAGAGATCATCCATAAGCAGATTCAGTGCTACCAAGAGGTCACAAACCTGGGCCTGAAACCTGACTAGAAGATAATCTGCTTCCTCCAGGATTCTCTGAATATGCAGTATAACCACCTTCTTAAACACCTTCCCTTAAGAGGAAAGAATAGGTTGAAGGTTGTCCAATATGGTTGGCTCCAAGTATGGTTTGTTGATGTAGGGGTACACCAATCCCTAATAAAGTCAAGAATTATTTAGTCAAAATTCATCAGCCTATACTAAATTTATAGGCAATTGGACTAACAAGCAACGTAATTACATCTAGCAAATTGAAGAGTTTTGTTTTCTTGGTAAAAAAAAAAAGTGGCAAGGATATTGAAAAACAGTGTCTTCAGCTATTAAGGAGCAGACAGGATACGAATACATACATCAGTAAAAATAAATTAAAATATAATCAGTATAATGAACATATTTGCAGAATATGGGCAGATTATCTGAGCAAATAAATATGCAGTATGATACACAAACTTTTCATAATGTGGATATATGAGGGAGAAATAAAGAAAAAGTGAAGTGATGTTAGAGAAGGCCATTTAGGCTACTAAGGGCATCATGCCACGACTTTAACATGTGTGGCTATTAAGATTCTAAACCATAGGTAGTACAGAGAACTGGGAAAAAAATAAAGTTATGGAAACTGTTCACTTCACAGAAACCGTTTCTGAACACCAGCACACATAATGTTAATGTCCCTTATAAAAAGCTTGGAATATTACTGAAAATATCAGTGGGAACATGAGAGGAAGCTGCAGTGGAAAGTGGAAAATCATCCTAAATAAATCACAAAAATGTTTCATAACTGGAGCTTATAACTTATGTTTGTATAATACAGTTTATGCAGTCATTGTATTTTTAGAGAAAGGAAATAAACCACCTTTGTTCCTATTTTCCACATGGCTTCCTGAATAACCTTGTTCCTGAAGCTATAAATGATGGGATTCAGTAGTGGTGGCAAAAGTGTATAGAAAACAGCAGAAAGCAAATCTACAATATGTGAGGAAGGACTTTTTGGTCTCATGTAAGAAAATATTGCAGTGCTGAGAAATAAAGAAAAGACAATCAGGTGGGGGGTGCAGGTTGAGAAGGCTTTGTATCTGCCTTGAATGGATCGGATCTTCAGCACAGCTGAGAAGATGTAGCCATAAGAAATGAAAATGATGCCACAACAAATTGAGCTAACTACAATTACAATCACAAAAATCAGTATTTGGCTAGGTCTTGTATCAGTGCAAGAAATCTTCTGTAACTGAGGGACATCACAGAAAAATTGCTCAATGCTATGTGACCTACAGTATTCCCACCGAAATACAATTACAGTTTCTAGCAATGCGTGGATCAGACAGGTGAGCCAGGAAGCAGCCACCATTTGCAGACAAGCATCCCAGTTCAGGATAAGGCTATACTGCAGAGGATGGCAAATGGCCACAAAACGGTCATAAGCCATGATGGTGAGCAAGGCGAGGTCAGAACCTGCAAAGGTGAAAATTGAGAAGACTTGGGCAACACATTCAGCAAAGGTGATCACTTTGTTATCTGTCAAGGAGGTGGCCATGGATTTGGGGATGGTGGTTGAGATGAAGCAAATGTCTGAAAGTGACAGGTTGACTAAAAAGAAATACATTGGAGTGTGAAGGGAGCAGTTCAGAGCCACAGTGATAACCAGGAGGACATTCCCCATGATGGCTATTAAGTAAATGAAGAAAAACATCACAAAATGCATAATTTGCACATCATGGTCATTGGAAAATCCCATGAGAAGGAATTCTGTCAGAGTCGACTGATTCATTTCACTTCTTTCAGACTTTGCAGGAAAAAGAGATGAGAGTGCACAGTTAGCAGCGGAAAAAATTAAAATCTCAGGTTGTGCTAAACATCATTATATTGTCTGTTAAAAAGAGATCAGTGAGGAAATTAATAAATAAGGAAAACAACAACATGTATTGGCTTTGCAATATTAGTAACAGTCTCTTTGTCAACCCCTTCTCACCCTTGCTAGTTAACAAGAAAATATAATCCCCTGATAGTGAAAATATAACAGTGAACTAAAATCACTTTGAGAAACATAATGCGTGCTGATGGAGTTTCAAAATGTCAGTGCTTTACAATGAGACATTACTGTTGTTGTTACTACTACTACTACTACTATTGTTGTTGCTGTTGTTGTTATTGCTGTAATTTCAAGATGTCCTCCCTTGGCAGAAACAACAATAACAAAAACTAAGGACATACAGAATGGACTCAAGGAAAGCTCTAAAACTGTCTTTCAGCATCTTTCAAATCCTTTCTCACTTTTCTTTCTCACTTTTGTTCTCATTTTTGTTTCTCACAAACAAATAAAAATAACATTTTTCATTATTTTGCATGTATCTAACTAATCAAATATAAGTTAATTAACTTCCATCTGATTTACTTGTGGTAGATGGATATAAAATCTTCCTGGATTTTATTTTATAAACACACATGAAAAAAAACCAAAACTCACTCTCTCTCTCTCTGTCTTTCTCTGTCTCTCTCTCTGTCTCTTCATTTTATTAAAGGTTTTAGAAAGAATATAAAAACTAACACAAAAGAAGGAAAAAGGAAACAAAGAAAAAGAAATCAAAGAGAAGTGCAAGAAAAGAAAAAGAAAGTAAAGAAAAAAAAAGAAAAAAGATATGAAGAAGTAACTTCTGATTTCCTTTACACCAATAAGTACAATTACAAGTTTAGCTCTTATTCTATGGCTACATCATACTTCTCTTCTTTCTACGGTATATTCTGTTTAATCATCAAAACCATATATCATAAGTTCATTTTTTTCTGTTTCATGCAAAAAGTCTATAAGGGGTTTCCAGTCAGATAGATAGATAGATAGATAGATAGATAGATAGATAGATAGATAGATAGATAGATAGATAGATAGACACACACAGACACACAATGTATGTATGTGTGTGTGTGTGTGTGTATACACACACACATATACATACAAAGAAAAGAATATATATATATTCTTTGATCAAAAAAATCAGTTTAGCCACCTCAGCAAGTCCCATCATTTTCACCAACTATTCCTCCATTGTGGGTAATGTTGAGTCTTTCTATGTTTGTGCATGCAATAATCATATACAAAAACAAAGTTTCCCTCAGTTCCAAAACATAAAGCTCTGGTTTCAATTGTATATTAGTATATTTACTTCTCATAAGACTTTGATACTGGCATAAATTTTTGGGGATTTCTATACAAAACACCTCCCTCCCCTCCCCTCCCCTCCCCTCCCTTCCTTCCTGTCATCCAGCTGAAATAAATTCTTCACACAATTTTTTATGAATCACATATTTTATATCCTTTTTTCCAATATGTGTGTCTTTTGGGCAAATTATATCTTGATTATTTTTTTTTTCAAATAATGCATTCTTTTCAGGAGCATTTGCTCCGTTTACATTCCACATTAAACATTTGTAATCCATCATCTGATCAGAAATTTAGAAAAGTCTATGCCTGAAGTGCCTAATTCAGTATCATCCCTTTCAGCTTCTTGTGGCACCAGTTTAAGTTTTTGTGTAAATTTTTTGTGTAAATTTTATCATGAATACTGGAAAGTACTGGAGAGTCAATACTGTACTTGAAATTATTTTTTTCCTTTTTTCTAGCGAGCAGTTAACAGAGATAAGAAAGTTAACCTACTGATGATTCCATAATATTCATATTCATTTGCAACACTGGCAGTAAAAAAAAAAAAAAAGGAAGGAAGGGGGGAAATGAATTTAATTATGGAAGACACTAAAATCACAGCATTGAAAATGGAGCAAAGTTATATGTGTGTGGGTGTTTTAGAAGCAACCAATATCTGTATACCCATTGAAAAGGAAAATAAATGCCAAATATGTAAACCAGTTAGCAACTTTTTAAAATTTAATGTGAGTGGTGGTGATACAGTTAAAAACATTAATATTTAAGCTATTCTTGTAACACTATTCAACATATATTGCTGTCTTGACACACATGGAACTAGGTGCTTTACAATGCACAATTTATTTTATTTATATTTCAAATTTGGTCACTGCCCATCTCACTAGGGAGTGATTCTGGGCAGTTTACAGTTTTTAAACAAATGCTTATGGCAATACATCACACACGATACCCCAAAAGCAACAAAGATTGTTTGTATTTACCAAGGGAAATGGTGATTGTTGCAACTGAAGCTGACAGTGGAGTGAAAAATCAGAAGTCTAACTAATTACCTAACAAAAAGTAAAGAGAGGAGGTTAACAAATGTTTGCAAGGAAAATATTATGAATTTTACAACATCAGAGTGGCATACAAAACTGATCAGTTAGAATGGCAGGTGGAACATTGGAAAGATAAACATCCATGTTCAACACCTGAAAGAAAGTGAAGGTAAGTTAAATAGCAAAATCTGATGACGGCTTCAAACTGGATCCATCAAGGAGGAAAGAAAAAGTTTAATATTTGCAGGACAAGAACAAGTACTAGTAACAAATGTTATTAAAAAAATAAGATAAACAAACTCCAATGCAGGTTATGCAGAGAAAGATGAGACTATTGACTACCTGATCAGTGCCTGTAGTAAACTTCATGCCCCAAAGTGTTGATATGGTCATAATGTTGAAAAAATGATCCACAATGGCCATGTTTAAAAAAAAGGGGGGGAGGGATTTCCAAATTCAAATGGACTGACAGCAAGAACACAACATGCTGGAGGTGACAGTAGTCAAGAAAAACAAGTATTACTAATAGGTGAGGAAAAAGCTGTAAAATATCAGGATTAACAATGGAAATGCAGAAATTATGGACTAAATACACAATTATTTTCCCTTACTGGAGCATTAGGAGCTACAACAACGGCATTGTCAAAACAGGTGACAAACATTAGAATTATTTGATCTCAAAACATGTAGTTACAGTAAACAGCTATGCTTGGAGAAAGAGAGAGAGAGGGAGAGAGAGAATTTGGACAGTTCTTTGGCTTTGAATTAAATGAAAATGAAATACTCATTTTTGCTGAGTATTTTTCAAAACAAACAAACTTGATGATGATAGCAAACAAACATAAACCTATTCTTGTGTTAATTTTATTCTAATACCCTGATTTTTATACATTTTTTGAATTTGAAATCATGACTGCCTACAATTTTAATTTTTACCTGACAATGCTGTAAGAAGATGTTACTTCCTTGAAGAAAACCAAGCATCACTTACAGGTGTGGCCATACCAAATAACACAAGAGTGGTTCAAAAGGAATTAGAAAAAAAAATGTAAAAGATCAAGATTTAACAATGGGAATACAGAGCTTATGGAATAAATAAGCAGCTATTTTACCCCCATCATTGTTGTAGCATCGGAAGCTATAAGAATGGAACTGTCAAAACAGTTGCAAAGTTAGAATGATTGGTTACAGCAGCATTTGGATAATCCGTAGGCTTTAGGATAAAGCTTGAATTGGCACTAAAATACTAGCATTTGCTGAGTATTCTTCAAATGATGATGATGATGTTGATGATGATGATAGCAGCCAAACAGAAATGCACCCTTTGTATTAATTCTTTTCCTGCTTTTTATACTAATTGAAATCCTGAGTGCCTGTAATGTTAAATTTTAGCTGTGTCAGTGCTGTGGAAGGATGTTACTTACCTCTCCTTGAAAGACTGGTAATGCCAATATGTTTGAACGTCTATCATCTTTAATATAAGAAAACTCTGCTATAGGGAGCTGGTAGAGGTTGAAATAATGTCATCTTTCTTTTCCATTATACTTCTGGGAGTCAGTCCTTGGAGAAAATCTCAGATTGCATGATGATGTCCAAATAAGTGTAATGACTATCTATGTTTTCTGCAAAACTTTTCTATCTTAAAGGTCCTGACTGACTCTTCATTTCAGTCTTGCTTCTGCAAGAATGGAATATTATGTTTACGGTACACTATAACACACCAAATATCCCCCCACACCTGCAGTTTCCTTCCTTGAAGAACGGTTTAAAATAGAAAATATGAAAACTCTTGAATATCATATCATACTGTTGAGTCCGGTTCTTAGTTTTCTGAAGAAGGGAGACAATAAAATAATTGGGACCACTTCTAAAATATAAGTAGGAAAGATACATTGAAGACTATTTTGCACTGACATTTGTGATGCGCTGTTAACCTCACACCTAATTAAATATTCTGATCACGCCAATCACTGTATTTAAAAGTTTTCCTTTCAGATTCAAATGAGTCTATTTCCTTAAATGTGGCCAATTTTTGTCATGTAATATATAAGATGCATAGCCCTTTGACTGATCTGTTTGCCTCACTGGTTAATCAATATCAACTTTATGTAAGCAAGGTGTTTTATGGATGGTCATTGACCACAATAAAGATTCTTCTTCCACATCAAAATGGCAGTTCTAAGGAGCCTTCCTTTGTCTGGCTACACGCTTATCTCTTGTGTTCCTTTCAACCCTCCTCTGCATATCACCTTATCCAGTCTAAACTGTAGTAGAAGAGTGACTACTACTTTTAGTCCCTACTGCTTTAGAAGATGGCTAGTAAAAGTTTATAGAATACCCAAATTGCAAGCCACAGAATAACAGCTCAGAGAAGTATTCTGCTTCTCAGCACAACTCAAAACAATTAAGATGATCTAAGATGAAAACAAAATTCCTGAAACAAAAGCATTTTATTTGTTATATACATCATGATAAGAACTCTTCTCCCTGAATTTCCCACCATTGTTTTTCTCTTGCTTTTTGTGAGAATAGAAGTGACTTTAGTTACGCTAACCTTCTTTAAGTTAAGTTATT